AGAGAAGGAAGTCTACGAAGTGAAATAGGAGGAAGTTCTGAACGTGGCGTTGAAATAAGTTTGTGGTCTATAGTTGCGAGCTTCGTCGTGCATGGAGATGGATTTGACGTAGTGACAGATACTTTCGATTGGCGTCGCCTTCTTCGGCGAAATTCACAACACCAGACCGTACGACAACAATTGACAAGATCACGTTGGAAAAAATTGACAATGTCATTGGAAAAGAAATTAGGAACTTCATTGCAACAGCAGTTACCAACACCACGAAGACATATACACTTAGTTCCGTTCAACAGACAGAAGATGATACAACCAATTAAGAGGCCTGGAAGTACGACAATACCACCTAACACACTGAAGATAATAATAATTGCACGACGTCGGCATTCTTCGTCAGCACAGTAGTGTTCTGCGGGAACGACTTCTTTCCCTAATTTTCCCATTCCCATTCCCATTCCCATGGGAATGGGAATTCCCATTTAGACTTAGGGAATGGGAAGATGGGAATGGGAATTCCCATTTAGACTTAGGGAATGGGAAGATGGGAATGGGAATTCTCATTTAGACTTAGGGAATGGGAACATGGGAATGGGAACAGAATTAAAAATTGACGTTCCCAAAATTCTTTTTATCTTATTTCAATACATATAAAAATATTTCTATCTGATAACTGTTTATTTTCAATAACTTTTCTTATTCATATACAATTAACAAAAAAATAACAAATGTGTATCAACAAAAAATAGACTATTGATTTATTCTTAATCACATCGTAATTTAATCATCACAAATATTATTTTCTTTTTCATCATCGACTTCGAAAATGACATTACCAAGATCATCTTGCGATACATCATTATTTTCTCTTCCTTCCCTCAAATAGAAAATAAAAAAAAAACTATAAATAAATATTAAGGTTATTTACAACAAAAAAACAAACGATTTATCGATAAATAATCTCAATATTTATCTTTAATTTTTTTAATTTTCTATTTGGGTGAGGGGAGGGGAACACTTTACTATAAGAGGAACATTCTCTCTATATGATGAACACTATGTTGGACTATACATTTTCTAATTACACAGTGGAACACTTTTTTAAGGAAAAAGCACACCAGCTTGAATGTATAGTGCATATACGCAGGAACACCTGCTTAACCAATGCCAACAAGCACAACAAAACAGAAAAAGAAAATAAGTGAAGCATTACCCTAGAGAATATACTGAGTTAAGGGTACCCAAAAAAGTACCCTGATACCAGTATGTCACAGGAACTTTTGGGTACCAAAGTACTTGCAGGTACTTACAGGTACCTAAGTGGTACTTTGGCAAGTACCCTGCTGGAAAATGCACAGTAACTGGGTACCTAAAGGTACTGATCAAGTACTGAATTGGGTACCATTGTATAGTATTTCTAAGTACCCTGTTACCAAATTTTCAGTATGTTCAGGATCGAACCTGATCTTTGACTTTTTAAAATTTTTTCTTTTTCTTGAGATAATTTACTAGATTTTTTTTTACTTTATTCAATTTAATTTTTTCAATTCCAAAAACTTAGCAGGAACAATGTCGGGATCCGACTCAACTTGAGTTGGTCGTAGACCACTTCAGGGTAGTCCGATCTTAATTTACGACCAAGCTCGGCATTTCTTCAACTAAGAAATAGTCAAGAAATAATTTAGAAAAAACTAGTATGAAAATTGATTATTTTCTTATGATTTATCGAGTTGTTTATATAGAGCCGTGCGTAATAAAGAAAACGGTGAATGAATAGTCACCACACAGAACGCGAAAAATTTAGGATACCCTGTCGAGATTTCCTCAGTAAAGTTACAGACTTGTGTATCCATGCAGGTACTTATTCAGTAAATGTACTTTTACGGGTACCCCAAACAGTACATACATCAGTAAAATTACTGAGAATTTTCAAAGTACCCATATTGGGTACCCTGATAGAGCTTTCTCAGTACATGGGTACCCTGAACTCAGTACTTTCTCTAGGGTATGCAGCAGCGTCGCGATGCGCAAAACGTGATGTTGCGAGAAACTGGTATACATATATGCCAATGACACTTTCGCATAGATGAACAGAGCCTTAGAAAATCTTATGGGAACTATGGGAATGGGAACGTGGGAATGGGGACAAAAAATTTTTTCTAGGGAATGGGAACAAAAATTGTTTTTAGGGAATGGGAAAAAGGGAATGGGAACAAAAATTTTTTTTAGGGAATAATAGGGAATGGGAATCGGGAATGGGAATCAGAAAAAGTCGTTCCCGCAGGATACTACAGCACAGCCTCCTCCATTATCGTAACTGGATCCAGAGCTCCAGCTACTGCTGCCACCTTCCAAATAAAAAATACTTCTAAATTGCGAATGTTTAAATCATATGTTCAACAGGTATATCATGCTACATAGGATATGCAGAAGTAAGCCGTAGCTGTTTTTTTCTATTCTTTCTTCGTACAATATTCATTTCGATGAATTAATACATTGTGTTTTAAAGATCGAATAAAGAAATGTTCTTAAATAGTCTTCGACATTATAAAAAGAATTGTTTCAACTAATAGCAAAGACGGACATTATAGTCTGAATACTTTGAGCCGTGATAGATTAGAAGTCGTAAGAGTCACTATTGTGATCATCGTACAATCTTGACCTTCTATTATATCTGTGCGACTCAAACGTTTCAATCAATTCAGCAGAATGAAGAGGAGAATAAAAGACTTCTCACCATGGTGCATAACGTGTATATGAGGGAGGCGAATTTTACATATTCACATCAAGCAACATGAGTTGGTTCGAACAGAAAAAGCACAAAAAATAGTAGGAGCTTAAAAACAATAATCTGATTACTAGCTCTGTCAGATTACAGTCAACTCCAATTGGAAGTAAAATAAAGCGTCACTAGATCTCTGTCTTAGAGTTTCTAGTATTTTCTGAAAGAAATTCTCAGGTACTACTCTAGAGATGATCGAGAAAATGCAGATCTTGGCTGTATACTTCAAAACTCATCTCGAAGGAACAAAACAATACTACGTGGTCCTACATTTAGCAACTGTGCCGCTGCAATAAAAGCAATTCCCATGCACAATATGCCTCTAAATTGATGATATGTTTTACTACGACCATCAATATTGTTGTGATCCTGTCTTCAATGTTTTCGCTCAATGTAATGTATATGCCAAACCCATCTACTATTTAAACAACTACGCTTAACTGACCAGAAACTAACAGCTAGAGAAGCATAGCCTCGAACGAAAACATCTAAGTGTGGATAAAGAAAATCCCTGTGAAAGTCACCTAAATACCTACGTTACTATTGGCCTCTGCTAGGTGAATTCTCTGAGCAATTGTTTCAGATAGATAACTACTTTTGACTAGATGCGATATAATACGTAAACTAAAAAGTCATTAGTCTGTTGACTGTTCTTTTGCTTACCAGAGCCACTCCAACCACTAAAACCGCCACCACCACCTCCACCGCCTCCTCCTTCTCCACCACCTCCTCCACCACCACCACCACCTGCACCTTGCGCATGTGTAAATCGTACCATGAAAAGTACTACGAGCAAACTGAACAAATAAAAGAAGTGTCTATGGCAATCTATGATCACCATTGTGAATAACTAATAAGTCAGATACGATGAAACTGATGAAAACATGAATTTGTTGTGCAACTAAAATTAAACAAAACAACGACAGAATTTAAATATTGGTCATTGTCATAAGTTTGAAGCAGAATTTTTTTTTCTTTTATTTGTCTTATATTCAACGTTGACGGAACTGATCGAAGTTGACTTGAAGGAAAGAAAAGAAAAAAACGAACATGACTTTCAGTGTGTCAATATAAAATCAGTTGAAAGAATGTTGTGCAACACATCATCGGGGGAAGACCCTGTTTTCACGAAGAACTAGGAGGTGTCGTCATAAAACAAAACTCTGGTCACTAAATATGTATGAAGTTGGAAACAGATTCCAGAAACTTAGGAATATCTGTGGTGGTGTTCATTCGGGTTTATATAGGCTGCATATAGGTCTATACCAGGTTCATTTCAATAGTTCTAGGTGTCAGTAGATACTGCTTATCGCATCATACTTAAATGTAATTCAGTATTCATTTCGATCGAAATAGTTGAAATTCGCATTAAATAAGTCATTAATATACTTTTCATCGTAGTGATAAATAAATTGTTTATTTTCTCAATCTAAAATGACTTTAGATAACTCGGTGTGCCTGGATTTTTGTTGTGTCAATCTTCAATTTCTGTTTAAACTCATAGTAAATGTAACTTTTGTCTCAAATTTATCTTCACTACTAATTTTAATGATTATTTGATTTTTCGATGAAAAAGTTAAGTTAGTCGTTTGGTTGCAGAGAGAATTCTTTCATACATCAAGTGCTAAATTTTAACAGAAAAAGCAAAATATGAATGCTTCATACTAGGGACCTTCTTTCTTTTTTTCTTTTATTGGTCTGTATTAAGAAGAAAAACAATATCAGAAGAGATGTTACAAAGACAGATCAAAAGGAGTATGTCAAAAAGGATGAGGGCTTATAAACAAAAATGTCAAACATACGCCTAGTATATATAAAAACAAGCAACAATAGTAGTATCATATAGAATCACATTAGGTTTAAGTGCTCTTTAAGATTATGTTTAAAATTTTTGATATTAGAAGCAGAAGCAACAAAAGAAGGGAAGTTGTTCCAGTCAGAGACTGTTGAAAAGAAATATAAATATTTAACATTTGTAAGAGCAGTGAAAGGAACCATTACATGGAAAGGATTTAAATTAGCATGTAGTCTATCAGATCTTCGTGAAACAGATGGAAATATGAACTCATCAGGATTGCGGGTGCACAACTGATGGTAGATACGATAGAAATTCACTAGCCGAAAGTATAGTCGACGATTTTTCAGATTAGGAAAACCTAACTCTCTAGCAAGATTATCGCTGCTAACCGTGTAGTCGAACTGACGAGTAATAATTCGTGAAGCAAGCTTCTGAACCGAGTCTAGTAGTTTCGTGTGAGTTATTAATTTAGTATCAAAGACCAAACATCCATAATCAAGTTTAGCAAGAACACAAGTTAAATAGAGATGACGCCGAATAAGGGTGTGGGTGTGGGGTGGGTGTGGGTGTGGGTGGGGTGTGGGTGTGGGTGTGGGGGTGGGTGGGTGGGGGGTGTGAGGGTGAGAGAGTGGGCGTGGGTGTGGGTGTGGGTGTGTGAGTGTGGGTGTGGGTGTGGGTGTGGGTGTCGGTGTGGTGTGGGTGTGGGTATTGTTGTGTTCTTTATAAACATCCACACACACACCCACACCCGGGTCCCCCTCAGGAATCCGTGAAGAAACGAATTCATTAGAACATCACTTTGATTGTGTAAAACCAGCTCAGAACTATTAAAATGCTAAAAAAAGTTAAGAGAACAGATGATTGAACGATAAAAATGAGTCTTTCACTGAATTCATTTTTGACGGGTCCCTGAGGGGAACCCGGGCTGAATTTTTTCGAGAAAAACAAAACGTCTGAAAATATTTTAAGATATACATGGACTGACTATGTTTTTGATGCTGATGTCAAATATGATGTTTGTTTCAACTGAAAGTCGAACTATTCTGACGAAATCAGGGAAATATGAGTAAAAAATGCAATTTCTTGGCGTTTGTCGATGGTATTTCGTGATTTTGACTAAATCATACATGTTTTTTTTTAAATTTACAATCCATATTCGAATAGAGCATGAAAAACTGTATCAAACTGTATATGTGGCTTCTTGACACCAAACCATTTTCGGTACCAAAATGTTGCTTTTAAGATGATGAGTCATACTTATCTATGAGGTACTTTTTCTAACCATATCGAACATTTTGATTGCTGATGGATTGTTTTTAAAATTGAATCGATTTGTAATCGATAAAGCAACTATTTTTGCACATTTCAAGGTTTTTTTTGAAGGAGGAAAACAATATTTTCATATATTAATAGGCTAATATATGAAATATATATGACGATGGTACTATAGTCCATTTAACAGTAAAATACGTTTTTCAGGTACAAAACTCAACTTAATCGAAATATAAATACGATATTCGTGATCAGCGTGCAAAATCACATATAATTGATATGCTTCTGAAGATTTTTGAAAAAAACAATTTTTTTGCGATCCCTGAAGGGGATCCCAGGAGTGGATCTCAGGGGGATCATCAAAGGGGACCTTACCTAAGAAAAGATGCAAGACTAAGTAGCATAAAAAACTTTTAATAATTCCTTGATACATTTCAGAGTATTGAAAGTTAAAATAGGTTTGGGACAAAAAATGGTCATTCCCACCCACATCCTTTGTATAAAAGAACTGCAAAATTATAAAGTGTCAAATGAAAATCTAGTTAAAATAGAAATGACATGGAAGAATATGAAAGTTGTTTATATTCGTGATGAATCAATGAAAAAATATCAATTCACCTTTGTTCGTGAACGACTCGGTGATAGTTCCTTTATTTTAACAATTTTCCTCTGAAGATTTACGTTTTTGTCTCATCTGCACTCTTCTTCAAAATTTTCTGGATTCCACTACTGAAATGATTTTATTTTAATATCAAATGAAAGAACCAGAAGAGTAAATGAATTATACTCACATCCTAAAGCCGGATTTTTCTTGGTTTTTGCTCAAAACAAATATTTTGGATATTCTTTTTTTCCAACTTGAAACTCATTTTCAAAATCAGTATAATAAACTATATTTGAATATATCGGACCAAGAATGAATTATCGAGCAGATAATGTGTCAATTTGTAGAAAAAAACAGCAATTTGCCACTAAGTTTTCAATTTTGAGATCTAACAAGACTGAACTTCAGATTTTATGATCGCTACTTTGCTGTATGCAGTGAACAGATCATCAATTTTTGTGTGTAAAAAACATGTGTTTGACTATTTCAAACTAGTTTCTCGTATAGACTGACAATCAAACACTAAATATTTCTCAGGATGTAAACTTAACAGTAAAAGTTAGTTTAGTTGAATTAGATTTCATTTTTTTCTTTTTTGAAATGTGAAGATGATATTTTGTAATTAGGGTGAAATTCCGAATCGAGTGATGTACCTACTGCAATAAGTGAAGACAAAAGGTTCTCGATCAATGCTAGAGAGAGATTTAGGATCGCAATATTGAGTCTTACAAAATGTTTCTTATAATTAACTTGCTAAGTCTAGGCGATTTCTATGTCAAAAAAATAAGAGATCATATCCACACTCATGCTTTATGTTTTTCTTTCGAGTCCATAAATATTTTAGAACCAAAATTCTACGAGATCGTGATAAGCTGTGGGTGTAATATTCATCAGACACCCAGACCCCACCCTCGCACTCCACACCTACACCTTTTATTATGTTTTCTTTAAAATATTTTTATTAGCCTTCATGAAAATTATGATTCTGATGGTAGCTCTATACTTATTTTATAACTATACATTGAGATAGATGAAACACAACGTGGACGACAACTGAAAAGAGGATTGAAAAAAAGCAGACTCTATTTTTTTTTATTTCTGTGAAGAACAACGTAAACTGATGAAGGAAAAAATACACATTCTGGTGGTTAGAGTCACAAAAAAACATTGTCGTTCTGCACAGAAGAAAAAAATGTGCCATGAATCGAACCAAATAACTTTATATATGTACCCCG